GGACAGCTGAGGGCTGGCTGAGCTCATTACTAAACCAGCTGAAGTTGAGCTGAATCCAAAGCCTCAGGATAACCTAACTTTGTGCCAAGGTAACACCTATGAGATTTCCCTCTTGGATCCTTGTATTTTTTGTATTGCTATTTACTGATTAAGGAAAAAACATGAAAACAGGGAAACTTAAAGGGCTCTGATGTGGAGCAGGGGGCTGATACTCTGTGCTATCAACTACTATTTAATCTCCAGTGTGCAGGCAAATTCCCCACCACCCAAACTCCCTTCCTTCCTCTCGCAGCCTAAAGGGGTGGGACTAAGAAAAAGTAGGGCTGGAAGAAAGAAATTTGAATCAGAAAGAGCAGGAGGGCTGAAGAAGCTGGAGCTGTTGTTGCCACTTAGACTGCTGAGGCCCTTGCCAACTTAGTTTATGGTTTTGAAGATTCCACGTGTGGAGCTGATAATTCCCCACCACCCAAATTCCCTTCCTTCCTCCCGCAGCCTAAAGGGGTGGGACTAAGAAAAAGTAGGGCTGGAAGAAAGAAATTTGAATCAGAAAGAGCAGGAGGGCTGAAGAAGCTGGAGCTGTTGTTGCCACTTAGACTGCTGAGGCCCTTGCCAACTTAGTTTATGGTTTTGAAGATTCCACGTGTGGAGCTGATTCCTCTAGGTACTGGACCCCCAACCCAATTGAGGAAGATGTTTTGATTTTTTACCTGAACTGAAAGATACACTTGAACGTCACAATTCTACAAATAACTTGTGCACATATGTTAGAATTTTGTTGTTACAATTGCTCATGTTATATAACTGAATGAGGAAATACTCATGAAATTGTGTTTCCAGGGTTCATTAACAGATATCTAGGGAAGCAAATAACTTAAAAGTGTTACACCAGCATCTGTGAGTTATTTAGATCAGGCATAACTCAGATCCTCTCAAACTCTACTCCTATTCTCTGTTCCCCCTTTCAGGTCTTCTGCTGACCAATCTCAGTCAGCATGACAGATGTGACGGGTGATCTGAGAGCAGTCAGCACAAGGGCAGTTCCACCTACATGAGAGGCTTCTGTCCATTCCAAACCCACTCTCTGAGCTTGGATTTCACTGCCTAAGAGCTTTAAAAAGAGGACCCAAATCAATTAGGCCACAGATACAATCATCGAACTGGACTATGATACTTGGGGGTTTCGAATCTTGGCTGAAGCTCTTGGGCAGCTGGAACAAAATGATACAACAAGGACAATTTTGGGATGAAACAAAATCTACCCTTCAACCAATCCTAGAAACAGTGAGATCCCACTACCAAGAGGCAAAATTATTCAATGAACATCTGAAGAAGAATTACAGTCAACGAGAGACGGGGAATAACGAAAAGGAAATGAGATTGTGCCGGATGATGTATGCCAATCAAAAGAGGAGCTGGAGGAAATTAATGGGGAAAACCTAAGAGAAACAACTTCAATCTTGGATCCGAGGAGAGCATTAAGGGAAGACAAGGGGAGAAAATCAGCAAAATTAATTTTAAAAAGCCTGGAAAATCTATTGAAGATAGACCAAGTGCATAAAGATCTAGTAGAGATAAATCAGATGCACATAATGGTTTCATAGGGCATGAAAGATGGCAGAATGCTTAGAGAGACAGAAACAAAAAGCAAAAAAAGAGAAATAAGAGATGAAAAAAGGGAAAATAGGAAGGGGGCCCTTAATGCTGAAAAGCATGTATATATCTAGCCTCGGGAATTGTAAAGGAGCATATCCTTTATATTAAAAAGGAGAATTAAATTGAAATAAGGGAGCTCTAACCAGGGTAAAGATGTAATATGGTGTCTTTTCTTTTTAGGTAAATTGAACTAGATATATGGTTGGGGATGGATCTGGAACTACTTTTATTAAGAATGTTATTAGAAGATCTTGAGAATATTGTACACTATGAAAGTAATATTATGATAGTAGCCAATCTTATATACTAAAATACATACATGAATGGTCTGAATGTTTGAAAGATGTATGGAATTTGGGGGGACAACTGGGAAGACACTGAGATGTAAAAAACAAATAATTGTAAGCAAATCATGTAACACGATGTTTGACAAGCACAAATCAAATGTAGATAGAGTGAAAAACTAACAAAATGTATTTAAGTTTATTTTCCCAAGAGGGAAATAAACACAGCTGTAGAGAATATATAGGAATTCCTCAGGACATATGTTTCTTTTAAAAATATGGGGAACAGTCAGTGGAATGTGGAAAAAAAAAATCTCTCTATGGCATCTTAGTTCCAGGTTGTGAAAGACTCCTGTTTAAAATCTTAGAAAGGTGCTATGTATCTCTGTAGACCAAAACAGAGAACCAATTTGGGCTAGTAGGCTAGTTCTTCTACCCAATCAATTGCAGGTGGGATGATGTCAGGAGATCAAAGCAGTCAGAAAACCCTTGCAGGTCAACAAGGGGTCATAGCAGGCCAATGTGGGATTGCAGATGGGGAGGGTGATCTCTGGCACAAAGAATACTGAGCTAGATGATTCAAAAGTGTACTTGGTACAAAGCCTTTTCCCAATATTTATGTTTGTTTCTAGGTTTATATGTTTTACCCTGGTTGTGTATCTGCTTTAAAAAAAAAAGACTTCACCATCTAGTCATAGGTATTCATAACTGGTTTTCAGTATCTAATGGAAATTACAACTTTCATTGTAAAATTCAGAAGACCCTAGAGCAAATAATTGCAGAGCCTTGATGTTGCACAAATAGTCTTATCTGTAGAGAGTCACACTTCCACTTCCTACATATTTTTAAGGTTGATTGGAGGAAAATATAGATTTACTCTATACAAACTGACATCTGTTAGCTAGAAGGTGAGCATATAACAAAACCAAAAGTAAAATGAAAGTACGGTCTTTAAGAATACAGATACATTTCAGTATGAACTTCTGTGAACTGTAATCCACTTTCTCCTACGCATTAAGTCCAAGTATATAAGTAAACAAACAAATAAACTTTCAAAGTGATAACAGCATTATTTAGACAGATAATGAATTCCTAAATTGTTGATTAAATAAACATCCTGACAGTATATAGAATAATTCATTAATGTCTGTCACATAATAAACAGTGACTGTTTTCTTTAATGTGCTAAGGCAATGACTTTTTGCTTTCAGAAACAAGTTGGTTGGTTGTTTTGAGGCCACAACAAGCAAGCAACATTTTCATTATAAATACAAAAGTCAACTGTGCAACAGGTAAATATGAACATATATAAATTGTAGGAGCAACCAACAATAAACCTCTAACCAATGCTAAATAAATAAATAGTCTGATACAATAATGCCTTAGGTTCCATGTGTATCCTGTACACGTGCAAATGTCTGAAAACAAATTTCAGAACATGAAGTACAAAAAAGAGGCATGTCTATTCCTTTTACAGAATCATTATGGAAAACAATCCCCATAAATATTAAGTTACGTGATACTAGCTAAGGTCAAGAAATTGCACCATTCATTGATCTGCAATCAAGCCCACAATCATATATTCTTTTGTTCCTTGTGTGGTAGGTGGAAAATACCATATTTTTCTGTCTATAAAATGCCCCCGCATATAAGATGCCCTCCTCCCAATTTTTTAACCCAAAATTAAGAAAACGTAGCTTTGAGTATTCAGCCTCTGGGCTCGGAACACTCAGAGATTACGAATCCCTGTTGAATCTGAGCACTGCCTACAGGCTCCACCTCCAACAAGGTGTGTTCCAGCTGGTCTTTACAGCATCAGCTAACATCAGTTCCATAAGACTCGTGATTGGAGGAAGCTAAGTCTGACTGTAGGAAGCTAAGCCTCATGATTAGAGGCAGCCTGTTTGCTGAGGTAAGGTATGTTTGTTCTCTTCTCAGCTTACTTCTGTGTATAAGATGGCCCTCCATTTTTAGTGTAATGTAATGATTTTAGGAAAAAGTAGCATCTTACACACGGAAAAATATGGTAACTACTATACACCTGGTTCCAGTTTAGGGGCCTGGCTGAAAACTGCAGAAAGCATTCATTACTCATTGTTATGCAACTGTCACATTCACCACATAAGTCTACATGGACTCTATTAAAACACTAAGATCAAATCTTCATTTTGGTCATAGACACATCAAATATTGCTGCTCTACTGATTGACAGTTAATTTACACCGACAGAAGAGGAAAAGAAATGTGCCACAAATATGCACAAAAAATATGCACAAAAAATATACTTTTTTCTTTTCATATTTATAGTTTGCGTTTCTCTAAAAATATTGACTATAGCTAAATAATTCACCTTCATGCCACCAATAAGTTAATGGGAAGGGGGGTAGAAGAGACTTCTTAAGAAGCTAATCCAAAAACTACAGTCCTGTACTGACTTGCCTGGCAATAATCAGATGCAACTTTCTATCAAGCTCTGAAAACAACAGCCAAAATCCTGATGCTTTGCATAGTAAATCACATTAGACTGCTACTAATAATAATCATGTGCCATCAAATCAAGGGTTTTCCAGATAGACAATACCTAGAAATGGTTTACTATTCTCTTCTTCCAGGGGCACCTTAGGACTGGGCAGCTAGACCAAGACCACCCGGGCTGGCCAGCTTTTGAATTATTTATTATTTATTTATTGAGTCAACTCCTCTGTAAGTTCCTGCAGCTAGACCAAGACCACATGGGCTGGCCAGCTTTTGAATTAATGGGGTTTTAGTGAGTCAACTCCTCTATAAGTTCCATTGATTCAAATGGACCTACTCCAATTGTAGACCAGTTCATATAGGTGACATAATATTCTTTGTCTTAAACACGGGAAGGATGAAGTCTGGTTAGGTTCAAACAAAGCAAGAATACTCTAAACAAAAATAAGAAATAGTTTAATAAGCATAATATACTTCTATGCAATGACACTTAAAATTGTTTCAAAAGCTGCATGTCATATTAAGATATTCTTCTACTGCTCATGTAATAATCCCATAAGCAATCTATATTATGCTATGACTGCTTACCTTCTAAATTTAGCGATACAATGGCAGTGTCATCTTCTAAACCTTCTATCACTTCACACTTGTATTTTCCATAATCCTCCAGCATTATATTTGTGATTACAAGGGAGACATCATTTTCAGTAGTTTTCTTTAAGAACACCCTTCCTTGGTAATTTCCGTAGGTCTTTTTGTGGTATCCCATTTCAACATGGACATCCACTTCCTTGAGGTAATCTGAGGTGAGTTTGGTCCACTTGACCCGGATTTTATTGGTGCCTGAGTCAAATGATGCATGATCACGGTAAAATTTACAAGGCAGTGTAACATTGCCACCCCGGTGTGAGAAGACTTTAGACTGTTCTGCTTCCACAAGAAGGCGAGGTCCATTTTCTGATTACATAGTGGGAAGAAAAGAAAAATTGATTAGTATGAAACACTGACCTGCACTTTACAAATGAAAACAGGAACATCCTGCACATGGCTAGGTGGGCAGCCAAGAGAAAGTAAGACGCTTAAGCAGAGCTGTTAACTAGCAATGTGGGCGCCCACAGCTTTGCTGCCCTATTGGTTAAACATGAGTCGTGTGAATTTAGCATAACAGTGGGAGCATGGAAGAATCAAACAAATGCCTGTGTCTGAGCATATGATAACCATATTGGTTCTGCCCTGAAACAGCTTGTTTTGTGTTCTTTCTGAATTCCTTTGGGCAAGAGCAGCTGGAGGTGGTATATATGCTCAATGCAGTCAGGTTCATGCCCTTCTAGCAGCAAATACTAATGAGTGGGTTTGCACCCTCCGAACAGCAAATTTCTGCACATTCTACATTTTAGTACCTAGATCACTCTGTCTTAGTAATGGTTCCATAAGCAAGCAGATGTTTCCAGATGACAAAAGCAACAAGGTCATGGGCAGCAAGACAAACACACAGAATGCATCTCTCCAAACCATGTTTGCTTTCAGTCATGCCATTAGAATACACTGATACCACCTCACAGCTGCAGCAAAGAAGCGAGTACAAGGTCACTCTGTGACTCAATGACACAGTATAGTATTCTTAAGCATGAATAAAACATAGTAACAAAGTACCCCTGAAGATTTCTTATTAATGCTGAAAACTGACCTTTGAAAACATTATTTTCTCCAAACTTTTCAATTAAGTACTTTTCAATTAAGGGGTGTTTAAAAGCACAGATAATATGGCTTTACCAAAACAATTTGTCCTTTTAATGTAATTTGCCTTTAAAGATAATTGTCTAGATCTTTGTGATGCCTTGGGGTGTAGAACATGGTGTTCTATATGCTTGTTTTCACACATTACTTGCAAAGAAAGATATTTGGTGTGCAGAGCACTATTTATGAAACATTTATGCATTGCTTAATACTTACTTACTTTTAGAGTTTAATGAAACAAACACTGAGTATTTTGCACTCTGTGGTAGGCAAAGCAAATGGTATCCACTCCCCTGAGTCAAGGCATGTAGCAGCCAAAGTCAGTCATTTTGGCACCAGAGGCAGAAAATCCCACAAGCATATCTTGCATTTGTAAATCAAATCAGCAGTAAATGTGGTAATAATACCTAAATTAGTGTCTCAAAAGGATTAGTATGAGGTGCAATTGCTCTTCTGATGGTGAAATGGAGCTGTGGCGAAGGCTATATCCACAATGGCTCCCAATATGGATCTATTCTGGCAGTAGGTACACCATATTGTTAGAAGGGAAAACAGCGTATATCATCATCCCGTGCAATTTGCATTAAAGTGTCGGTATATCATCCCGTGCAATTTGCATTAAAGTGTCAACGTGTTATTTGTGCAATTTTGGTTAATATGGACAAAAAATTGCTCCCATTCTGCTCTGTTGGTTACAGTACCACAAAATACTTTGCACTCTTTCACTAGAGGAGGAAAATAATTTTGTAATTTTTTGTACTCATAGGGAAGTACGAGGCAAGTAAGGATTTACATCACTAGATATGGCTAGTTATCACAGAAATGCCAATATATATGTCTTTAAAATCAGTAAGAAAGAAACAAAGAGAACTAACAGCCAGACCTTTCTTCTGTTTCAGATTTGTTATCCGTGTTATTATTATATATTCTTTTATTTGAAACATTCAGTGATACTTGACCATGTCAAGAAGTGCAGAAGAGCTGTCTCAGGGAAATTGTTCTTTTCAAAAGTCTTGAAGGCTGAATGACCTTTCTGAGTCATAAGTATTTCATAATATGTTTCTGCCTCTGAGAAAACCCTGAAATACTCAGAGCTGAAGACAGATGGCAGACAGCCGAGCTGGCAACCTAACTCTCTCTTCCAATACTCCTCTAATCCCTGTTTGCTCACATATTGTGCAAAAAAAAAAAAAGGTCTGCAGATCCAACTGTCTCTTATAACTAGTGATAATAAGGCAGTGAAGTACCCAACATTCATGCAGTGCAAGAAAAATAAGGATGTTACTGCAAACTGAGTAATTGAAAAGAAAGTTTTTAATGGCTTAGAAAAAATTCCTCACACATATGGCTCACACATGTCCCACCAATTTTGCCTCCAATTTACGTTGATGCAAAAGTTTTTTTCCTTTAAGACCTGAAGTGGGAAGACAAAGCTGATGGACACTTAAATAGTTCTCTCTCGTATAGACTCAACCATTGGAGCTACGCAGGCCAGATTAACAAGGAAGCAATAAAATAGTGCAGGAAAGGAAGTCTTGATGGAGTAAGGGATGAATCCAAACTCTTTGTAGTTAAATTCTTAGAAGTCTCGATGGAGTAAGGGATGAAAGTAGGACGAACTGTCTAAGAATTTAACTACAAAGAGTTTGGATTTGTTTCTAAAACATAAGCACATTCCACAGTATTCAGTTCATTGCAACACTGTGTGACAGTGGAAATCTTACATTACTGCCCCTAAACTTTTTAGAGGAAAAACAATAAATGCCCTCTAAACACACACACACACACACACACACACACACACACACACACACACCGACACACAGAAACACACACACCACATCACAAACCCTGCACGCAAACTGCATATAAGAGCCTTGATAGATTAAAGGCTTCTGAGACTGCTATATACAGTAGTTTAAAAAAACACCATTTCATTGTGTATTATTAAGCAAATTGTGCAAATAAGACTTTCTACATACAGTATGTTCCATATAGCACAAACTGCTCTGAAAAATCTGAAATCATTTAACAATTTATCTGTAGCTTTCCGAGTATGTCTAACTTTTGATAGAAATGTAGGAAATGTAGGGTGCGGGGGGAAATCCATCAATAGCATATACATGATCTCTTGATAAATTTCCCTTTTTTAAAAAGAAAAATGACCCCGTTTTCCAGCCAAAAAGAGCTCCAATATTCTTGCCCTACTTTTAGATGGAAGTATTTGAAAGAAGGGAAAACAGTGCCTCGTCAACAAGAATCTCGGAACACACCAGACTGATAACACTATCCAGAGTTGCCAGGTCTCAGGGAGTCACCTGTAGTATCAGAGAGCTGTTGTGGTTTCTCAGGCCTCCAGATGGATCAACCTCAGGACAAGTGGTGCTGGAGATGAAGTTTGATTTTCATGTGTGAGAGCTTCTTCACATTCATCTCCAATCATTTTCAGCTCACGCAAAGACTCACTGTCTCAGTCCAAAGACTTCTAAATGTCTGAGTATCTATATGTCATGAGTGCCTTCATGATGCTGCAAAAAATCTGTATGTGCCCTGTCCTTGTGACTACCTTGTGCATGTTTCCATAATGATTTGACCTAAAAGCAGTTCTGTCCAGATGAGCTTTCTCTGCTCTGCCCTATAACATCCTAAGGGCCCACCTCAACACAAGAAAGCTTACCTGGTTAAGCTATCCTATCCATCCTACCTTGTCTGACTATGCTTATCCCCTGATAGGAGAGTGTGTACAATGCTGCAGCCTTGAATTGGGTCAATGACAATTAATCCATGGCTCTAGGAATGGTAGCTCTGCCAGTGAATATACTCATCAAAACTGCAAATTGCACAGCCTCTTTGAAAGAAATCAGAGTGCTCAAAGGGATGGTGTAAAACACACACAAATTTATAGTGCAGGTAGGAATCATAATACTGTATAAAGTAGTTAAATCAAAGTATACTGATTTGTTTTTATTCACTGTTTCCTGTAATTTCAAACTGGGATTCCTGGTTTAAGTTTAACTTCCAAAGTGCTAAATTACAGTTCACATGGGGCAGATGTTATGATGTTATATCTATACAAAGCCTACAGTCACCCTTTTCAGCTTCAGATCTTGTCCATTTGGTTTCTAGGTCCAAAAAAATCATACCTGAATAAACCAGTTTCATACTTCTTATTCTGTGATGGCACACAGTAAATACATGGATGCTTCACATTCTAATGCTGTCAGTTAAAGATATCTAGAGTGTTGCATGTCAACGCACAGGTTCATTACTGAAATATTTCATCAAGTAAGGAAATTTAGTATTGAACAAAAATGTAAAATTTAAAAATTTCATGCAGCAATACTAAAGATACATGCTATGGATAGGTCCTTCTTGATTAAACTTTCTGAGAATACTGTAAGGCACTGAAAGAAAGCTTATCTACATTAATATCTGCAAATCCTTCACTGAATTAAATTAAGAAAAACTAAATGGCAACGTTCACAATGCAATTCTCATCCTTTTCTTTTGACTGGAAACAAACAAATCAAAGGGACAGAAAGCAGACCCTGATTTACATAGTGCCAGATATGAAATTAAAAAATGAAGCAGAAACACTGCTAATATGACTTACTAGTTGTTCTTTTAAAAAATGATACAAAGAATAGGAGAGGTATGACACTGCTAATATGACTTACACCGATACTAGTTGTTGTTTTGAAAAATGATACAAAGAATAGGAGAGGTATGAATTCCCAGGTTGGACTCCTTTGATAATTTATGTTCTATATTTGAGAAAACTTTCTGTCTACAGGCCAGTGGTACTGCATATGTTAACATGATCTAGAACATAAGAATCTGAAGTGGGCCACTGGATGGCTTTCAAATCCTCCCACAAGTCTCCACTTTTCCTTCCAAACTAGCATTCTAACCCTCCATCTCAGATCTGGCATTGCAATTAGAAGCTCTGACTAAAATAATTATCCTACACCCACTGTGAGAACTCTACCCTCTGCATATTTAGTCAAAAGAAAAGTTCATTTTCCTATGTTTCATGGGGCTTACTTCCCCAGATAAGCAATCATATGACTGCAGCTTTACTCACTGAAATCATAAGCCAATTAAGGAACACTTCCAGTTGCATTTTAATCCAGGCTGGAAATTGTGCATGTAATACATAACCAAGGTGGAAGGGAAATATAACCAGATGGTTGCAGGCAAGCAAGACCTACAGCGTGTTC